AAGAACAGAGCTCCTCTCTGATGCCCAAAGGTGAAGACAAACATAGTGGGTACTGTGGTGCGGGTACTATGGTGCAGATACTGGGCCAGACACAACAGGGATGCTGGAAATGTGCATCAGAGGAGACCAGGGAGAACACAGCCAACTCCTCCACCCCACCCACTTCCAGGATATCCTGGCAGAGGGCCCAAGGTCTACTGCGACATCCTGGAGGAGGGCCCAAGGTCTACTGCGTTGCTCATTCTCCAATCCCCCAGCTCTCTCTTCTCACCATGACCTTGGGGAGCAATCTTTGCCCCACCCAGCCCCTTCTTAGGCCTCAGCTGCAGAACTCGGAGAAGAAAAACATTTGCCCCCAAATAGCCACAAAATGCCTTACAATCTCCATTTCAAAGCTGCTGCCTGAATAAGGCTGCTTCTCAGCATCCTCAGGAACAGAAAACCGATATCTAAAATAGACAGCCTTCATAGAAAGTGATGTGGAAGCTCTTTCCATACTGCCAAGAAATACTTAGTGAAGAAAAACACCAACATTCCAAACAGCATATTGTCCGTTGTATGAAAAGGATGAGTAGGCAGAATATTCATAACAAATTCATTCTGGATATATAAAATATATTAGAAGGGCACAGACCACCTCTGGAGGATGAAGGGATCAGTGACCCTGTTTGTGTCTGAGGTGTAAAACAGGTGGCAGGGAGCAAAGGTGAACAGAGACACATTTTCTCTCTACCCTTTTGTGCGTTTGAAATATTTTCTTCCATCTTATAAATGTATTAGCTACCTTGGAAAAACAAAATTTGATTAAAAACATTAATTTAAAATATGTATAAACAATTTTAAAACAAAATACTTTTGTTGTTTTCCTTTTGGTTCCGGGGATCGAACTTGGGTCCTTGCGCTTACAAGACAGGTGGCGGAACCAACCACTGAGCTAAATCCCCCGCCCCTAAAATACTTTTTATACAACAAAACGCTTATTACTAATCTTGTTAACTGTGTTCTTGGCACACACCAAAAGCTCACTCTGTTGAACATAATGAACCTCCACTTAAAGACAACAAAAGAAAATCAGAAACCAGGCAAAGCTAAGGGCATCAATGTTCCAATTCTTTAATCAACTCTTTACCTGTCTGGTACTTAACTACTATGAAAATTAGAGAGGTCTCTGGGTTACAAGCTCTTTGCCCAACTGTGCACACACTTCACGGGGACCAGGAGGGTCCTTCATCTGTCCACACCAGCTGTTTTATAAACTGAGAAACTTTAATCCCCAAACATGATGCCCTGGAACCAAGACAAGAAAAATAAACCTGCAGCTATAAAAAGGATCCTTACGGGAAATAATGTCAACACCTGTGTGGTATCCATACTGGACTGCAAGCAGAGGGGTTAAGAATGGCCTTAATCACCCACTGGCCCAAAAGGCCAGACCACACTGGAGGCACCCGAATTTCCACTGCTCTGTTCTTGAGGACAGCTTAGCCAGAGATGACACAGAAAGGCTAAAGCACCACATGCTTCACGTCACCTACGCTCTTCAGCTGGTCAAAGAGGACTCAAACCCCACCGCCCAATAAGAATCAGAATATCCTGAGAGTAGGTGGGAACAGAAATGCGGAACTCCCATTATGTTGGAAATGTCTTTCTGCCAGGGGTTTTCACAGAACCAATTTTAGGCAAAAAAATAAGACAGACTCTTCCCCTGACTTCCAAAGAGCCAAATAAAAAAAAAAAAAGGTTGTTCCCTGAGCAGGAGCTCTGGGCGAAGGCAGTGGGAACCACTGTACCTACTGCATGTGGGCCCTGCCCAAGATTACCAACGGAAACCAGGAACGGAGGAAGCAAGGAACATCAGGGAATAAGAAGCCCTTCTACCAAAGCACTATGAGAAAGAGCCTACGTTAATACATAAGCAATAGCCTAAACAAAAAGCTGAAACTCAGAACCAACTCTTAAGAAAAATAAGGCAAAAGAAGGTGCGATCAATGTAAAGCGATCATCTTTCGTTCAATGTAGAAAACAGGTTAAAAAAAAATAGGGAATACAAAACAAAAGGGGACTCGATTTCTGCAAAAAAATAAAAGGTGACAGGCATCTCTCCAGTGAAAGAGAACTGGCTGACCTACTGAGGGGGCCTATTTATCAAAACCAGAGAGCCAGGGAATGAAAGTGAAAATAAAAAGGGAAGAATGGGAACTCCAGCTGGAAGGGAAGGAAAAGAACTCTCCTTTGCATTTGCCATTTGGTTTATTTCAAGCTCTGGAAAAGAACAGGCAAAATGTAGATAAGCCAGTGAACAAGCTAGATTACCAGCCAGAACTCACAAGCTTCTTTCTACCAGGCCAGCCAGGCCCTGCTGCTGCTCCCCCTACTCAAATGACTAAGGAATTTGCTTAAATGCATTTGACACACAATCCCTGACTTCCGAAAAGCACTTAATATGGTGGCTCATGAAATCTTAATCTAAAAATGTTCATCCATTTATAATCAAGCTGCATCACACTGACAACTGGGGAGGAAAGCTGAACACATTTGGAAAGCTATTGTGGAGATGGATATCATCACAGACTTTATTTATCACTTGGAGAGATTCCTTCCCATACCCTTTAAAGATAATTTTTAAAAATTGGCATCTAAGAAAAGATTAATTGCAAGGGAACAACTAACAGAGAAACTGAATTATCTGATTGAATAAAAGATACATTATGTACAGGTCAAACGCCCTACGATAAATGTGATCATTATATATATATCAAAAGTGTACCAATAAATTAACTTTAAAAAAAAAAAGAAAACTAGGGCTGGGGATTTAGCTCGGTGGTTCCACCGCCTGCCTCATAAGCTTAAGGTCCCGAGTTTGATCCCCGGTACCAAAAAAAAAAAAGAAAAGAAAACTAGATAAGAAATAAAACACAGCCAAGTGCAGTGACCTATATGTGTAATCCCGGCCACCTAGGGGGCTGAGCCAGGAGGATTAAAAATTCAAGGCTAGCATGAGTAACCTAGAGTCTCAAAGAAAAATAAAAAGGGCTGGGGATGTAGCTCAGTGGCGGAGGAAATAAAATGCAATGTGACTTGGAAACCCCCACAGATGTCTATGCTAAAATGAAATCTAGGATGTTTAATGACTTGGGGTTGGGGGAGGAATTAGATCCTGATAGAAAATACTGGGTGCTAGATAAGGAAAAAAAAAGGCAACAACATTCTAACTGTGTGAAAAGGCAACAACATTCTAACTCTATAGTGGTTACTATGTGGTAGGCATTGTTCTAAATGCTTCCAATATAATAATTCACGCATTTCACAACAACTTTTCTAACCAAAGTACCATTATCATTCTTGTTGCACAGAGAGGTTAAGTAACTCACCCAAAGTCACACAGGTAGTCAAAGCAGGCCTATGACTCAAACCCTGGTACTCAGACAACAAAATCTGTGCTCCCAACCTCTCTGGGGTCCTCCAGAACTTAAACACTGAGAATAAGAGAGACTTCTAGCTAGATATATGGTCAAAGAAATCAACCCTTAGTCATGGCCCTGTGCTGACCAGCTAGCCCTGTTATCACCCCAGCCTCAGTTTCCTTGTCTACACATTGAGAAGACTGAATTGGGTGAGTTCTATCTAAGGTCTTTGGCTCTAAAAACGTCACAAGTACACCCCAACAATCAGCAGTATATGGACCGGACTGCTTTTTGACTGGTTATTTAAAGGTTAATTCAGCCTCAAACAGGCAACAAGTGATATTAATAATCGTTCTCTGCCTCCTGACCTTCAGAAGATCATGTCCTCTCTATGAGGGCAAATGAAAGAAGGTAACGAAGGGGGAAAGATAGATTGTCCCTCTTTCGGACCCTGCTTAATATGACTGTAACCAAATGGCCCTTGAAAAGCTCTGGGCACTGATGATGTTGACTGTCAAACCTGAAGACTCTCAAGGTCCCTCTCCCCACCCTGTTCCTGGAAGCTGCCTCTGGGTTTGGTTACTGGAACGCAGGTGAAACTGACAAACGAGTGCCCCCAAGAGAAGAATTAGGAAGACCAAATCCCCAGTAGTTTAAATCAAGGCCTTTCGTGGTAGTGAAACAAACCGTTTGGCTTATTTATCTTTTGGTAGCATTCATTCTCTTTGCACACACCCACACTTGAGAGCTGAAACCTCAGAATTTATTATGGGCAAATTCAACACCCACTTCAAACTTAATGGACCCTTTAGAAGTACCCGCCTCAATCTAGGCATTAGATGTCACCCAGAGTGCATCTGTGGGTGGAGAAGAGCCTTACAGATGGATCATACAGTCCTCCTTTGGGAGTTCTTCCCAAGCATCCCTGACAGGTGGTTGTCATCCGGCCCCTGCCTGGACGCTTCCAAGGTCGCGGCGCTGGCTGCTGGCCCGGCGGTGCTGGACAGCTCTGCCGTGGGAAGCCCACGAAGCGCCTAGAACAGTGCCTGGCGTGGGCCGTGCTCACTAAGGCGCCTCCAAGTGGGTCAAAAGCTGCCTCCCTACAACTTGAACCCGATGGTCCCGGGTGCGTCCCTGGAACCCCCAAACGCAGAGACTCCTGGAATTTCCGGGGCTGTGATCAGGCCCCGTGGTCTTCTCCTTCCAGCTGTGGACCCTGGACCTTCACTGAGCCCGGGCCCGGAGACCCCAGAGTCTGACCCCAGAGGCCCTGGGAGTACGACGGGGTGGGGATGGCCGCCGGGAGGCCGCGGTCGGGGCTGTCCCTATCTTAGGTCCCCGAGCACAAGGGGACAAAGGACCTTCCGGAAGGCGTATCCCCAGCCGTCCAGGTTCCTCTCGTCGCTGGGCGAGCCGGCCCTCGGGACCCCCCGCGGTGCCGAGTGACAGCCCCCTCGAGAGTCCCTGAGGACCCCGGGCGCACGGGCTGCAGGGTGACTGGCCGGGCCACGCTGGGGACCGCGGGCTCTGGTTTGGGCCCGATGGCTCCAGGGCGCGATCTTGGGCCCACGGAGCTCGCTCTGGCCGTGACTTTACCTGAGCGTAGTTGGCTACTGCTGCCCAGTTCGTCCCCAGCCGGGTCCCCACAGCTCCGCTACTGCCGGCTGCGCTCATGGAGATAAATGCAGCCGGAACCCCTGGCCTGAGCGTCTCCCGCCGCTACCGGCCCCGCCCAAGCAACTGCTGCCACGCCCCTGGTGACGGACTCTGCCACGCCCCTAACCACGGGAACCTGCCTATTCATTGGGTAGCTCAACCGCTACTCTACTTGTCCGGCGCTTTCTTTGCACCTTGTTGGCAGTTTATTGGTCAGCAGAGCTGCTCCTCAGAATGGAGGCGGGAGCCCATAGAGGAGAGTTCTTTGACAATTGGTTGCTTTGACGTCTTTGGCCCCTGGGCCAAGACGCTATTGGATAAGACCCCCGGAGGGGGCGGGGAAAAGGGAGCAGGGCTAGAGGATGGGTTGTGTTTTGTGTTGATGTGGGCGGGGTGAAGAGGGGCGACTGTGACCGCAAGCTAGTTTAGGGGGTCTGGGTGAGATGAAGTGTCCTCTGGGAATGGGAGGAGGAAGGTTGGCTGCTAGGTCAGCTGCGGGGTTCTGGTGGGTCCAGACCGAACGACTGACTGACTCATCTCCAGCCCGGTACAAAAAGGGGCGATATTTGGGGTCCAAAAAGGGAAGAAAGACGTAAGGTAATGAGTCTCTAGGATAGAAGGAGATGAAAGGATGTGGCAGCAGAATCCTTGCAGCTCTGGAAAAGGTGGCATCTAGACCCCAGTTATTGGCCCACTGTCCTTTCAGCCTTTTTCATCCTTGCCAGTTGGAGGTCACCTGGAAGAAAACAGGGTTAGGCCAGCACTCTGGGAGGCTGAGGCAGGAGGATCAAAAGTTTGAGTCAATTAACCTCTCTGCATACACCCTGGTTTCATTTGGCAACTGGGAGTAGTAGTAGTAGCTGATGAGATTGACTCTGGTAGACATGAACCACGCCCGGCATTCAATAGGCATTCGTCAAGACTGATTCATCACCCACTCGGTTCTAAAATTCTATGACCTTGAAACTGCTTTTTTTTTTGGTACCCCGGATCAAACTCGGGTCCTTGCATTTGTGAGGCAGGCAGCAGAACCACTGAGCTAAATCCCCGGTCCTTGAAACTGCTTTTGCAATGGCATGGGCTTAACTAAGAATAGAACACTTGCGTGACTTGAAATGCAATTCCTGCAGGGCATGTGGGACACACTACCAAGGCACAGTGGGGCTGGAAGAGAGGAAGCAGGAGGCAAAATGGGAGAGCCATGCAGCTGGACAAGGGGAGTGGTATTTGAAACAATGCTATTTTTTCCCCAACACACACTTCAGGATTGTGACAGAAAAAAATGGGCTGTTTCAAGTTTCACAGAGTGTGACCAAATGCCTGTCAGACCCACCTGAAGCCCATTCCTTGCTCTGAAGGTGTGGACATCTCAAAGTGTGGACAGAAATCGTCTCTCAGAGCTCGTGGCTTTTTCAGTGCAAAGAAATGACCTGTATTTGTCTCTGGTTTCTGTTCTTCTCTGTTGTGGCTCTTGCCATATTCTGTTTACTCATATATATATTTTTTATTCTGTAAAGCATTTCTGTGGGAGGCCACTTAGGATGCAGAATGCCATCATTTTGCCTTCAAGTTTAGTAGCCTGTTAAGATTGGGGATTTGGGGAGCCTTGGTCTGGGACAGCCACGTGTTGGGATGTGGCAGTAAAGTACATTTCTGAAAGCATGAAAGAGCCTGTTACAAAGAGAACAGGGGAGATAGTGCATGCCTGCTCACACTGGGCTGGCTAAAGCTCTGGGACTTCATTAAAGCAGGACTATGACTCAGCAGGCCCTCTCTGCAGGACTTATAACACAAGACAGCCCTCGGGTTACCCTGAGGGCCAGTAGGGAGCAGTGGTCCGGCTCATGATGTGCCCTGGTTATTCTCTTTGCACAAAACCAGCAATCCTGCTGCTTTGTCCATTATTGTGTATCCTCAGAAAATGGGTGAGAGGAACTGGCTCTAGACCCTTTGCTCCTGGGGCTGGAATCTTGGTTCTGCCCTTTTTATCCATGTGGCCTTGGGCAAGAACAGTACCTCTGTGCACAGTGCTTCTTTCTGTGAAATGCAAATGACAGTAAAGTGCTTTCCACCTGGGGTCCTGGGAGTAGCAAATGAGTGACTACATGTAAAGTACATCAACAGTGCCTGGCATGCACTTAGCTTTTAATGAAGGTTTGCCATTACTGATGAAAGCCCACTTAAGAGCATTCCTCTAAGATGCTAACTCATTTTTGAAGTTTTGTCCCTTGGACGTAATGATCATGATATATGTGCCTCATTTTAAAAGCAGTTTTAGATTTACAATAAAATTGAGCAGACAGTAGAGAGTTCTTGTATACACCTGCTCCAACATATGCAGGATTTTTTTACTAGCAATAATCCACCACCTGGTGGGAGAAATTTTCCTTTGGATTATCCTTATCCAAACAGGGTTCAGAGGATTGAGTTATGGTTTTGTGAGATTAGCGCTCATCATAATTACTTAGAGGGAGATGGGAAAGGATAAGCCTCAGAGAATGATAAGAAAAGCTGTAGCCTGGATGCTCAGCCTGGATTCCTCTGATGGCCTGACATAGTTCAGACTGAGAAATCCAATATTGTCACTTTATTGTCACAAGCAGCGCTGCTTATGGGAAGTCCAGGAAGTAGGTTTAGAATGCCCTGTGCCCAGGAGTCCTGGCTAGATTCCCATTGATAATGGACATTGAGCTTGTTTAGGAATTCTCAGTCCCACCATGAACTATTGTGTGAGGACAAACTATGATGAAATTCAAGGGTTTGACTCCTTTTGTTATTGGGAAAAACTGCCTGCTGGGCAGTCAAAATGATGATGAAAAATAACCTTGTCTAACCATTGGGATGCTTTCTTAAACCTATATATGAAGTTGTCTATAATAAAATTATAAAATGGATGGGCCAGGGATTTAGCTCAGTGGTTTCACCACCTGCTGCACAAGTGCAAGGACCTGAGTTCAATCCCTGGTACCAAAAAAAAAAATAATAAAATAAAATAAAAAAATAAAATGGACAGTCCTGAAAAAATTTAATAATGTACTAGAGTGATTTTCAAGTGGTCTCGATTTGGGTAATAAATGTTATAGTAATCTTTATACTTACACACATAGGGCCCAACTCTGAAAATGCTCGTGAAACACACAAATATACACATAAAGCTGGTGGAAAGGTGTTACAGCTAGGCATGCATGCCTATAATGCCAGTAAGGAGGCTGAGGCAGGAGGATCACAAGTTCAAGTAGTGATTTCAAGGCCAGCCTGGACTACTTAGCAAGAGTCTGTCTCAAAACAAAAAAAAAAAGTTACAGTCTTTTAATTAGATACAGTGTCAGGTGGTTGGCTAAAGGTGACTTCTAGGTCACTATGTATTCCTCCTCTTGATGTCATCCTTAATTACAGCAATAAAAATTGAATTCTTCTTGCTATTAATTCCAAAGGAGTCAATAAAACTTGTTCATTAAATAAGTACCCTTTCCTGTGTGTAAATCCATGTCATTGATCTATTTTCAAATTGTTTACATCCTTTTAGAGAACCTTAGATTGTTTTACTATATATTTAAATTAACAGGACAGTAAATTTTTGACTGAGCAAGACATATAGTACTTGTGAGACAGAACCATATATCAAAATCCCATCCCTTCATGGGCACCAATACAGGACAAAGGGGAGCTAGTGAGAGCTCAAAGGACCAAGCAGTAAGCAATAGAGTGCAACCAATGTCATAAATCCTTGTGCAGAAGAGGGAGCAATGTCTTCTGATTTGGATTCATGGAGGTTTGAGCTGCTCCTTGAAGATCATGGGACTGAACTTGGGTGGAGGTGGGTCATATTTCAGGGTTAGGACAACACCAGCAGCAACCTCAAAGTGAAAGAACTTAACTCAAGAGAGTTTGTCCGCAGCAGAGTCCAAGTGGAGAATCAGTAGGAGCGAGAACAGGTGGCTGGGGCCAACACAGAAGCCAGCTAGTGCCTCCATCTTACTTTGTGGCTTCATCTCAGCCACCTGGCACCTGGGTATCCACACCCAGTGTGGAGCAGGTACCCCAAACCCCGGGATCTGAATGCCACCGCCATAATTTTGGCTTTGTCTTTGTACTCCTTGCTCCATTATTAACAAATTCATTCATCTGACTCACTTTTTAAATTGAATATCTTCCTAAACCAGTGGTTCTCAACTGAGGGCAATTTTGTCCCACAGGGAACATTTAACAATGTCTGAAGATATCTTTTGGTCATAACTGGCGGGGGCTGCTGGTATCCAGTGGGTAGAGGCTGGAGGTGCTGCTAACCCTTCTGATATGCACAGCATGGCACTCACAACAGTATAGGCATTGTTCCTGGCCTCAGGTGGCTGGGAATTGCCCATTCTAGGAACTTGGGTGGCTGCGGGGGGCGGGGGTCTAGACAGGGAGCAAACTTATCACTCAACATTGCAAAAAGAAAGAAAAACACAAGTGTAGATAGACTCATCAGGACTTCCCTGCAGGTTAAATACAGGGTGCAAGGGAGAAGGAAGGGCTGGGGATGGTTCCAAGGTAATTCCAAGGGGGTGGGGGGGGGAAGGCGAGTCTGATTTAGATCTGTTGAGATTATGGTAGCACACATACTCAAGGAAAAGAGCAAATATCCCATCCTGACTAGAAAGGGAGGATTGGTGAATAGAAGAGGGGCCAAGTGTTGTAGACAAGGAGAGTTGGCCTCATACTTTTTTTTTTACAAACTTTGCAAAGTTGTCCACATACAAGATGGTGGAGTAGGTAAGTGTTGAGAGAGAGATAAGCAAACCAGGTTAGGTGGGAGAGTGGAACTATCAGGAGGAAGGAGGAGGAAACAGCAAAAGAGATTGAGAAGTTATCATTAAAAAGGTAGGAATAGTCATAGCTAATATTTATCAAACCTTTTCCAAGAGCCTACTGCTGTTCTCAGAGCGTTATAGAATCCTCAGAAGAACTCCACAGGGTACTATTGCCTTCATCTTATATTTCAAGAAACTGGGGCTCAGGGTCACATAAGTGGTATGAAGCAAAGTCAAGATTAAACCTCAGACCTTCCGAGCATGCACAAGTCCCATTCCCAACTATGCACTCAGCAGTGTCACAGAAGTGGTAGCTG